ATGTGTATATGTGTATATGTGTTATATGTGTATATGTGTATATGTGTATATGTGTATATGTGTATATGTGTATATGTGTATATGTTATATATGTATATATGTATATATGTATATATGATATATATATATTATATATAATTATATATATATATATATATATAATGTCTTTATTGCTTTTAAATGTAGGATTAAGTGAAGGAGTATGTCAGAAAATTTTTAAATTGACTTTTAATTGCTGTTATTTCCATGATTTTTGCAGGTTACTGACATGATGGTGGCCAAACAGCGCAGTAAATCTGATTATAACAGTTAAACCTGCAAATCAGCGAACATTATCACACACACCTCGACGAGGTTCCTTCTCCCGCAACTCGGCCATGTCCTCTGGGTCACAGCAGTCTCACCAGTCTGCCTCAGACGATGATCGTTATGACCAGGATGAGATAAGAGACCTGACTGCTGCTGATTCTCTAAGTGATGCACCTCTGTCCCATGCATCACACCCATCAAAGGATGAAGGGGTCTTACATCTTTAGTTGTATGGAAGATATATTTTAACTGCCATTAATAGTTTTGATAGGTAACATGGATAATGGTAAACATTAAAAGAGTATTTTTTATAGATATCTGAATCATATCATCCTTTATGTTGTGGGATTATTTTATCCTCCTTTTTATCATTGTTTTATTAATATTTATGTATATAATTTTTAAAATATTTTCCCCACCTTCACTTATTATTTTATGGGGCTCATGTTTGCATAGTGTATTGTAAACACAACATGATTTATTGTGGTGCAGTATCATAGTTGACCGTATGGCCAACACCAGTCTTAGATTGTGCAGAATTTATATCCATATCTGTTATAGCTCATTATTTTAGCCCACCGTTGATGATAATGTTGTTTACATTAAAAGCCATACTGTTAGAAATGCTACACCTTGTAAGGTGGAAGGAGGTTAGAACAAGTGCCTGTAATTACATTGCTAATGTGTCTTTCCTGATGCCTTTAAGGGTTATATATTTGAGTATGTTGAAGAATAGAATATGAAGTTTGAAAATCATAATGAAGTACCTACAATAGTAGTCCACAAGTGAAATTATAGTGTAAATGTGCCTTTCTTGCAGGAATTTCAATCAAACTTTACAACTTCAGTTTCCTAGTAATCAGATTGTATATCTTTTTATAATTAATCTTTTTATTTTTACATTATTTTTAATGTCAACATAAGTACTTAGGCAGAAAATGAGCAAGTCAAATAGAACAAAAAGATTGGTAATATAGTCATAATCTTTTAAATGGTTTGTACTGCTGATTCTTCCATATCATTTAATTTGATTGAAGGATATACTTACATTCCCAGTTCAAATCACCTATAGTTTGAAGTTTCACTGTTGTAAGAAAATATACTTTTATAATCAATTGTAATTAGCTTTAACTTGAAACTAAGAGTTATTTCCTTCTGTTGATTGTATATACATTATGTGCATATGGTATCTTTAAGGTATGGAGGCCAGAAGTAGTACATGGCTTCAGATACTATAAGTGTTTTGGCATGAATAGTTATGCTACTTCCCCACACCCAATGGTTGTCACTTGTGTACAATATTAGATATGTGAATAACATATGTTTGAGGGATTTAGTGCACCTTGAAAGCCTCAAATAAAGGCTCCCCAGAGCACTTGTGCTATATGGACCACATTTCTGTGGACCATTATGTATATTATTGAAATTATACAGTTTACACTTAGATCATATTTTAAAACTTGTGATAAAACTTCCAAGGATTGGTTTGTGGGTCAGAGACCACTGTGTAGTGTAAATGAATGGTTAATTAATGTAAGAATGAGTGAACATCAGAAAGTTCAAGTATAATAATAACTATGTTTGAAAAAGGAATTGTTTGACAATTTATATAGCAACCACCACCGTGCAGTTTCTAAATGTCCCACATATTTTCAGTATGATAATTCTAACTACAGTATACAAGAAAAGTTCAGCTTTGAGATACTTAGCCAGGTAACATAAAGTAAAGCTGTATTTCACATTCCGTCCTGTATTAATTACATATATGATGCAATATTTTTTCAAGGACATATTTGCTTGTAAGATGTTCTGTTGCTAATGTTATTGAGGAGGAAGGGAGATTGCGTCTGGGTAAGTAGGTCAGTAAAGGTATTCATACCTTTGGCTCATCCCTCTATAACACTATTCATCTCACCGATTTATTCTCATCGATCTATATAAATCCACTCATTCTTCATTATCAAAACATATACCCCGTGGTGTAGGTTCGCACGGTCGCCTCCTACGCGACAGACTCGGTTCAATCCCCGACGGATACAATCCATGATTTTTTTTATGCTTGAATTTCGGTTTGCATCTCTATTTGCTTATCTTCTGTTCCATATATCTTTCTACTTTTGTTTCCGTCTCTTTCTCCGGTGTTTACAATGGAAGGAAACGAACAAGTGATGAAGATAAAGAAATAAAATCAAGACGGAGTAAAAAAAAAAAAGAAAAAAAAAAAAAAAACAGATTTCACAGAATCATTTTTTATAGTAGCTCGATAATTACCTATATAATTTGAAAGGTTTGTTGTCACTGTAGTTCAGTGTCATGAAATTAATAAATGCTGCTTATATGAAATAATAATGCATAGATAAACTAGACAGTGCTGCTACCAAGGTGTGAAATACTCCTACTATTGCATTGTGAAAGCTGGATCCTGTGCTAAATATATATCTTCTATTTGTACCGTATGAAATGTTGCAATTCTTGTTTACACTACATTGTATTCTCTCTTCTCGTGAAACTATTTTTTCAGCCATATGTGTGTATACACTCCTCTTGTTCATTTTCTCCATCTATCACTTACCCCTTCTCCTTCCTTCTCTTTCTCATTTTTCTCCCTTTCCTCCTATATCTCCCCTTTACCCGTTCTCCTTCCCTCTCCTCCTCTCTCCCTCTTCGCCCCTCTCCTTTTCCTCCTTTCTCCTTTCTCCCCTCTCCTCTTCCTCTTCTCCCGTTTCCTACCTCACTCCTAACCTCCCTCTCCTCCCTTCTCCTTTCTACTCTTTTCTTCCTCCATTCCACCTTCCTTCTCCGCTTGTTCCCTTCCCACCACTCCCACAACTGGATGGAGATGGAGATTTCAGATGCAAAGGTTTTAGTATATTCATGTCTATACCTGTTAACCATTATCGTTATTCCCATCATTTACTACTTTACTTCCTTTATTCTTCTCACCGTTGTTATTGCGTAAACGTTATACATTTGCTTTAGCGTTTTTATTTTCATTATATCTTTCTTTTCATCTATTTCGCTATTTTCTTCTCCTCTCACCTCTATACCTTTCTTTCTTGAAAGTAAACTGAGCTTTCTCTACAAACACATACAGGCAAAGCATTGTGCCTCTCTCTCACTCTCTCTCTCTCATTTTTTCTTATTTTCTTATTTCTTTATTATCACCCATGCATTCATGTCCGCATGCGTTACACACACAAACAACACCACACACACAAATACACCACACACACACACAAGAATACGAACTAAGCATATTCGAAAGAATGATTACACCGCAAAACGAAGACTGCCACATTTTGCAATTTATTATCCCTAAAATAGCTTCGAAATTCATCCTATTCCTCCTCTTCCAAGGAAAAGAGGAGAAGGGAATGGAAAGGGGAAAGGGGAAGGAGAGAGGAGTGAAAAGCAAGGAGAGTAAGAGAGGAAGAGGGATGAAAGAAAGGAGGGAAGGAAACGAAGGAATGAAAGAGAGAAAGGGGGATGAAAAGATATAAGAAAGAGGGGGAAGAAAAAAGAGGAAATACAAGAGAGGAAAGAAGAGAAAATGGGAGAGGAGAAAAGAAAGGAAGGAAAAAGGGAAAGGAGGACAAGGAAGTAGGGTTTTGGAAATAGTGAATAAGAGAAAGAGGAATGAGGAAGCAAAGATACGAGGAGAGGAGAGGGAGTAGGATGGAAATGGAGGAAAAGAGGAAGAGAGGAAATGGGAAGGAGAAAGAGTGGCTATGAGAGAGGAAAAGAACGAAGAGAGGACGAAAGGAAGAGAGAAGAAATAAGGGATGAAGAGAACATTTGTTTGTTTGTTTTGTTTTGCTTTCACGTGGTTTCCCGATGTCTTTCTGTTGCTGTTTTCTTGTTTCGTTTGTTTCATAGTCTTCCTATTCCATGTCGTGCTTCTCCTTCTTGCCTCCTCCCCTGCTTCTTCGTGTCGTTGCTGTTATTACTACCCTTCTCCTCCTCCATTCTTGTTATCATCATTATCATTGTTGTTATTATTATTGTAATTATGGTTATTGTTATCATTATCATTCTAATGTTGCTTCTTACCATTATTAGTATCTTTACTATTATCCTCATCATTCTTTATCATTAATATTATCCTTTTTATTATTATCATAATTATTTTTTATCATTATCATTATCATTATTACTATTGTCACTGTTGTTCTTGTTATCCTCTTCATTAACATTATTACTGTTGTTGTCTGTCTCTCTGTTTATGTGCGGGCATTTACATACATTTTTATACACATCTTTTGCAGATATTTCCGTCTCAGTGTTGATCCAGATACGTTTTTTCCCAGAATTTTATTGCTCGATCGAAATCTTGTCCATTTGGTGGGAGATCAATTTCGCTTCAACAGATTTTAAAAGTTGAATGCAATCACCTCAGATGTTAAAGAGAGGAAGAGAAGAAGATTCAGTCTGTTTTTGTTTGTTTGTTTCACTGGGATGGCGTGGTATCCCCCCCTCAATGTCCGCTGCTATGACAATATCTATAACACATTACTTTTTACTGAATCTCGTGTATTGGTATTCATTCGAATTCCTTTTTCATGAAATCTTGTTTTTACCATAAATTTCTTATAATTTTCTGTTGAAGGAACAGTTTTTACACAACCGCAGTACGTTTATAAGATAAATATAAATCAATATACAACATCTGTAAGTCGCTATGAAATTACACGCCTTCGTATGTTTAAAAGAACACTCATTTTAAAAATCTTCGAATGAATAAAATTGTTTCATGAGTAGAGAGAATAAAATGAAGTGTAAACAACAATTACAGCTTCCCATACGGTACGAAAGAGAAGATATAAGTTTAGCACAGGATCCAGCTGTCACAATGCAATAGTAGTAGTATTTCCCTCCTTGGTAGCTGTGCTGTCTGGTTTGTCTACTTTGCATTTTTAGTTCATTAGGGACCATAAGTATCATTTATTTAGTTCATGACACTGTGAACTACAGTGACAACAAACCTTTCAAATTATATAGGTAATTATCAAGCTATTGTAAAGAAAAAAATCATTCTTCTCTTCTCGTATTCTCTGAAGTAGGGAAATGGGAACGAAAATTTGCTTCTTCTTTTGCCTCTTTCCTTCCTTCCACCTTTTCTACTCCGTCTTGATTTTTCTTTCTTTCTCTTCATCACTTGTTCGTCCTCTTCGTCCTCCTCCCATTTTGCTTCTCATATCACTAATACAATATAATTATGAGAGGACTAACAGCAAAATTGTGAAAACGCGCTAACAACCAAGCAAATAAAAAAAAAAAATCCCTCCAGTTCCTTCATACTCCTTCGCATTGTAAACACTGGAGAGAGAGAGACAGAAACAAAATTAGAAAGATATATGGAACGGAAGGTAAGTAGACAGATATGCAAACAGAAATTCATGCATAAAATTAGTGTTGACTGTATCCGTCGGGGATTAAACCCGAGTCTGTCGCGTAGGAGGCGACCGTGCTAACCACTACACCACGGACATACATATAGATAACGTATGAGTTTTACGAAATTTATATTGTAGCTTTTAGGAGAATGCATAATATGCTTATGTATGTAATGTTACATACATAAATATGTATGTGCGTGTGTGCATGTGTACTATGAAAGGTTTGTTGTCACTGTAGCTCACAGTGTCATGAAATAAACAAATGCTACTTAAGGTCCGTAATCAAAGACTATCTACGAAAGACCGGAGAGTCGAGCAAAATCCTGTTAGTAATGCGGCGACGCGTCGGCGCAATAGATGGCGTTAGTGAGCATCTCATGACGTCATCTCATACCCGTCTATTTGTTTACATAGAAGCGCGAAAACTGTTCTGACAGTTCCGACATTGCCAAGAAAGTCTTATCCTTATTCTGCTTGTAAAAAGCAAAAAGAAGAGAATAAATGACATATTTCTTTTTTTTCCCAAAGAAAGAGAAAGGTTTGTAATTATGCTTTTTAGGTATAACCTATGTGACGTTCAGATTGACATAAGCAAGATATAAATTGGAACACAAGAAATTATTTTGATTGGTAAAGGTGTCAAGTCATGACGCCCGTCTAAAAAAATAGAGGCCAAAAATTTACTTAATAATATAGTGCAAGCTTTAAGGCGCGCGGGGCGTCCGGGTCGCGCAGGTGTTGGCTCTTGTGACATCAGTCAAATTGTGGCTTGTCTGTTTATCGTGCTTCTAAACTACCCCCTGTGTGCAAAGAATGGCCGGGGTTACCATCGTGTGTGTGTGTGTGTATGTATGTGTGTGTGTGTATGTGTGTGTGTGTGCGTGTGTGTGTGTGTGTGTGTGTGTGTGCATATATCCATGAAGATAAATTGATAGATAGAAATCCTATGCATGTTTTTGAACCTCGAAAGCGGACAAGAGACCGTTTGTCAAGGCAAAAGAGATTTAGGATGATAAATGTAAACGCCAGAACAGAACTGGTAACATCGTATACGCTGCTTCGCAACAAAATAAAATTGTTTATAGACATACGTGGCAGCTTGAAGACACCGGCCGCCTAAGATGATATTTATGACTCAAAAATACCATCCTTGTAGTAATATTTTTTAAACGGATGACTAAGGTAAATGAGTG